TCTTGGACTCACCTGCCCAACTCAATGACTCCAGGTTCAGGAGAACCCTGAGGGGCCAAGGCCAGAGTGCCCATACTTCATAACTTAAGACCTGGGTGCATCTCCCTCTCCACATGGCTCCGCATTTCTTGACCCTGCCTGAAACAATTGCCCACCTCTCCTCCGGATTCCTCAGCTTGTCTCTGCACACCTCTTTCTCTCAAAATCCGTATCCTTTCCTTAAGACCAGGGTGGAGGTTTAGATGTATAGAGCACGATTGTCTGTGTTCACCTTTTCTCCACACCCAGCCCTGGCCCTTGACCCTCTGGCCTTGGCAGACGGCGCAGAAGGGTCCGGGCAAAGGTAGTAGCTGAAGGCACAGCCTTTTAGTTCCTCCTACCTGTCCTCCGGAGTTGTCAGGACTCTTGGGGCAGCATGGATGGTGTGCGGCCGGCAGAGTAAGAAAGAAGAGACCAAGGCCTAGGCACTTACTGGTCGCAGCTGGGGACCCGGGCATCCTGCTCCCAGGCCCCGCCCCCAAGCCCTGCCTAACCCCCCCTCCTACCCTCCGCTGAGGTAGGAGAGTCACAAAGCCTGGGGTTCTTGGAATTGCCTCCTCTTATGTCTGGGAGTAGAAAGGAGTGGGAGGAGAGACTGCTGGTTGGAAAGGTGTGTATCTGTCTGTCTGTGTTGTCTACACACCCACACCTCATATATATAAATATTTGGGCTCAGTGAGGGTCAGAGAAAAAAAAGAAAAAGAATATATTAGGCCCTCTAGTGGAAACAGAGAACTAAGCTGTTCTCAAATATGTGGAGACAAGCTTGTTGAAGCAACTTCTCTCTAGAGTCTAGAGTAATAGGGTTTGGTATTGTTATTTATTATTATTATTATTATTATTATTATTATTAATTATTAATTTTAACTGCAGGTCCAGATCATGAGATGGAGAATGATTGTCTCTGTTCCAGGTCTTTTTTTGTTTTATTTTGTTTTGATTTGCATACTGATTCTTCATTGTTTTTTTCCTTTTTCTCTTTTTCCGTCCTTCTCCTCATCACTCCATCATCATCACTCCATCATCATCATCACTCCATCATCACCATCACTCCATCATTATCATCACTCCATCATCACCACTCCATCACCATCACTCCATCATCATCATCACTCCATCATCACCATCACTCCATCATCATCATCACTCCATCATCACTCCATCATCATCATCACTCCATCATCACCATCACTCCATCATCATCA